CCCAAAAAAAAAAAAAGATTTTTTTTTAATCCGCTCAATGGTCATCGCTGTTGTTGGAAGTGAGAGATAAAATAAGGCCAAATCGCACTTCAGAAGCGCCATTCCTTTGGCTATCTCGTGGCCAACCTCTCTCTCACCGCCCTTAATGACAGAACCACCGAGCAGTTTCTTGCGCTGGCCCATTTATGTGCATCCGACGCCGTCGAGGGCAACGGGAGCTGCTTCTCGGAGAACAACAACAACAAAAACAAGGGATGATGCGAAATAAAAATTGTTGGGGATGCTGCGCCATCCTCCTAAGGAAAACTACATCAGAGGAATCCCAGAGACCAGGCGTCGCTGGAAGTAAATCATTCCCGTCAGGTAAAACCCAAAACACATCACCCCTCTAACACTCAACACCAACGGCCACGTGAATCACAGAGCGCCGCTCAGCACAGCAAGCGGGGTGAGCTGCGCGTCCACCGCCATTATCTCCAGAAGCCGTCAGCCACTACTGGAGATAAAAAAAATGCCCACCTGCAGCATTTCCCACCAGAGTTCTTTTTTTTTTTTTGCACGTGCATGCATTTACAATCCGCCACTAAAGGATTCAATTGTGCGATAGAGAAAGAGAGAGCAATCAATGGCTGTGTGAGAGCGGCGGCTCATTATATCGATAAACAGTAATAGGCACCCATAAGTAAATCTAACGCGATGACGGAAAATAGACGGAAGACCACATCACGCACAACGCGGCAATTGCAGAAAGGCGCTTCCTTCTTCTCTCCCCACAAAAAGATATAGATATAAAAGCAAACAAACAAAAAATACAATAAGTCTCGTCTTATCCATCCAAGACGTGTCTTCACAAGTCGCTGACCTTCCTTTCGTAATGAAGCTCATCAAAGCTGTCGTCACTTTCGCCGTATTCATCGTCAAGTCGACGACGTGTCGTATCCTCCATGAGAGATTCAACGGAGGGCCTTGTGGCAACGTTATTCCGCGATGGATACAACAAAAAGTTGCAAAGCTCACAAGAAACTTCCTCGCGGTGCTTGTGTGGGCGATAATTGGGCGTCGTCCCGTTGATACGAGCGCGGTGAAACTCATCTCTCATGTAGTTTCTGTAGTCACGAAAGGAAGTTACACCCCCAATGGACGACGATTTCCGGGGACTGGTGTCAATTGGCGTGTGAAGAACCTCAGAGGGAACACCGTCGCGTAGAAAGGCACGAAAGAGCGGTGATGCTCCATACGTGTCATCTGAAAAGGAGCAAAAGTACCGCATCTCGTTCAAGTACTCCTCTTCCCCCACAAGGCGTCGCCATCTTTCCTCCTCCCGGCGCAGTTCTTCAGCCTCCACCACGGCAAGACGTCGCAGTTCGGATGCCCGCGCATCGTATAGCTCCTGCAAACGCCTATCTCTCCACCGTTTTGCTCTGCGAATGGCACGTGCCTTGGCCTTCAGCCTTTTCACCATTGGAGCAATGACGTTATCGTGTAACTGTTGAAAGGTAGACGCTTCTTCCGCAGCCACGGCCTGCAGCGCCACAAGAGCGGTGCACAGCAGTTCCGAACGCTCGCTGGCATCCCTCTCACGCTTGATGGCTATACGTTGTTTTTCTCGTTCCAAAGCCACGGCGGCCTCCCGTACAAACGCGTCCCGGAACGCAACGTAGCATGAAAAAGACTGAGAAATAAGAGAATCCCGCTGCTTTGCCTCTACCGCCTTCACGTTTCGTAGCACACCCTCCACCAAAGGGACAAGACGGGTACGAAACTCGCTCCACAACGTTCTTACGTCGGACTCCCGCTCTTTAATCAACTCCACACGGGAGTTCGTCTCAGCACGCAAAAACAACTTTGTTGACTCCAAAAAACGTTCGTATCTTTTGCGGCGTAGTTCCCCGTAGTACTGAGAAACACATCGGCGTATGCGCATATGCACACGAAAGATGCGTTGCAATTTAAGGGTGTGGCGCGAAACAAGCATCAGGCGGACATACGCGCGGGAGACAAAGGCAGCCACGTACCGTTCAACAACTGTCACCATGGTCTTCGCAATTTGTACCCGCCTGGATTCCAACATGCGATGTGCATCCGTTGAAAGAAACACACGAGAAGTTCCCAATTGAGCTGACTTTTCTCTGATACCGGCTGCCCGTAGTAAAGCCAAGCATTTGGCTTTAACTGTCATTTTTGTCCCAAGTGATTTTCTTGACTGAAGAAGGATATGATAATTGTGTGCAAATTCTTTGCATTTCAGACGGAAAGGATAGTTTGTCTGACGCTGTTTCAACGTACTGAGAACTCCGGTGGCAACAAGCTGCTCCAGTACCAATTTCCCGTCAAAAAGCCCTGCTTGTCTCCTTGAATGAGGGCGTATGCAGCGCACCCAGTTACACACACTGCTGGTCAACATTTCCATCAGTAGACGGAGTGAGTGACGAAAGTTTGAGACAACGGTGCAGCGCGAACCACGCAAAGGTGACGTGGGTGAACCGGGAGAGTACGTATCGCTCATAAGTCCAACCATTTCATCTTTCGTTCCTATGATTCCTCGAAGAACCCATGAAGTGGTGTCGTGCATCGTCTGCGCACACGAATCCTTCACGTAGTCATTGTTTTTCTCCACAAAACCATTAATGCAGTACTTGACGTCCCCCGCATAGTGCCGAATCGTGAAGCTGCTATCGTCCAAACGTCCTCTGTAGAAGTATGCAGAGGGGTTGTCCATTTTTTTTTCGCGATCCAGCACACTACGTGTCTTCTTCCCGGGTGCCGACTGATAATCGGGGAAAAAAGCCGATGTGACGGAGTTCAGGAAAACAAAGTCTGGATTTGTGCGTGAGCGCTCCACATCCAGCAGCGATGCGTCGTCTAGATGAGAGATGATGGAGTTCTTCGAGCCCTGCAAGAGAACTAGGCAAAGTTGATTATCCACAAATTCCGTGATGTTGGGTTCCACCCCCTCAGCACGCATCTCTTCCATGTCTAGAAGAAACATTTTCTCCGTGTATTGTCGTTGCAAGGCCTCGTTGGCAAGATTGATACAAAATTGCTCCAGCGAGTTCACCTGGAAGTCCTCAAAGCCAAAGATGTCGAGGAGTGCGATCCACGTCGTCGGCTCACGATGGCTGAAAGGCGGCAGACGGTCCACACCTGTTGGGGAGCTTTCATATTGGCCAAAGTCTGCACTACTCAAGGTGGCTGCGTTAATCTTCTGGATGACAAAAAGAAAGAGTTTGGAGTAGAGAAATTTACAGATACTGTTGCGTTGGTCTCCGGCCTTTTGCACCGAAAGTTTTTTTGTCAAACAATCGCGGCCAACAACGACGGTACTTGTCGTGAGGCACTCCACGAACGCCTCTGGCTCGGGCAGGAGCAGTAACTGACCAGCGACGAACGCTGCGGTCTGCGCGTCCCCGTCACTCAAAAGGGCCGAGTCGTCGATCCGCCGCATCTCAAACGTGATGTTCTGCAGGTGCAATATGGATCCCACAATGCTCCACAGTGTGTCCTGCTCCTCCTCGGAAAACCCGATGCTCGTCAGTGCCGCCTGCAGAACCTGAAAGTCCCTAGCGTCATCGATGCCGTTGTTCTTCAGTGAGAGGCACCCGCCTTTGCCCAACAACACAAAACTGCGAGCATCGCCAAGTCGAAGCCTCTCCCGCATGGCCCCGTCAGCTCCGGCGACCAGCTGATAAAAGACATGATACACACGTTCGTCTGCCCCACACGTGACGGCCCGTGAGCGCTCCAGCAGAAATGGTGTGACACGCAAACCCATCATAACCCCGTCTGCATCAAACTGAACCTCCATAAATTTACCAAACCGTGAACTGTTGTCATTCTTCACAGTCTTGGCATTTCCAAACGATTCCATCACAACACTACTCATCTGTACCTTTTCACTGATGCGTTGCATACGCTGGCTCACAGCTACATCTGTTGCCACACGCTCAGACGCCGCACATAAATACTTCAGCATCTTTTTGCACGCTTCGGTTTTCCCACTACCACTTTCCCCCGAAGCAATAATGGAATGGTTTGCCTGCCGTGCACGCATCTCCACATATGCTCGATGTGCCACACTCCAGACATGAGGAGGGAGGCCTGAGGGGAGCTTTGCCGTGTCGAGGTGATCAAGATACAATTCCATGCAATTATCCGCCTGTGACGCAATGACCTTGAAGGGATTCACTGAAAGCACCATTTCTCCAATGCGCATGTAAGTTAGATCCCTGGCGTGTCGATTCCTCAGCACATGAAGTAGGAGCGCATCATGCAGTTCGGGCATCTCCAGGAGATCGTCTGGAAAGGAGTCAAAAACCCCCGGGGTGGTTGGAAGAAAAAGAAAGTCCGCATTCACAGGAACACTGAAAGTCTCGCCGGACTTGCAACGGACAGTTGCCATTTTCCCGTCATGCTGCTCCTCCATGCTCGCAACCACAGCCAGCTCCCAAGCCCGAATAGGGTGGAAGAAAAATACCATCTGGCCAATCAAAGACGGTCCCATCCCATCGCTACTGCCCACTTCCATCTTTGTGGCAAAAACAAAAACAAAAACAAAACAACAGCAGAAAATGTGTCTGGATAAGGACTTCTCTTCTATTCCTACGGAGTAAAAGTACAACAATGGAAGATCACAGCTTCTTTCAGCGTTTCAGAATTCTAATTCAGAGGAGGTCCGCTCAGCACCCACAAACAAAGAGGGATTCAAAAGATATGTGGCCATGCTCAATGGGCTCTCGCTGTGAACCCATGAATTGACGAGTCCTCAGGGTCCCGCAACAACCGGATTCCTCCCGCGTAAAGGGCAGTGGCGGATGGGTCGGTTGCGAGGGAAAAAAGAACCGCACTCCCCGCGGCCCGATGCATTAATAGTGGAAAACAGAAAACAATTAGCACGCACACACGCACACACACACACACTCAACGACAAAGGATGGTCAAAAAAAAAAAAGATGCCGTATTATCTCCTTCAGCCCCATCAAGAGGCATATTTCTTTCCAGAAGCTTTAATTAAATGAATAAAATAAATAAATAACCCACCTTCAAGCCGCAAAGAATGACACTGCAATTTTCCACGCAGGTGTCTACAACCCTTAAATCCAAGAAAGTTCACTATTTCTAAACTAAAGTAAATTAGTAAATACGCATTTTTGACAAACCCAGGTGAAACACCCACAAAGATAAACATCAGTTTTTCTTGAATTCAAACACAAGTCGTTAGTTGTTAACCCTGAATAATCTTCTGGGTCGCTGGCCGAATCCTGCAGTTTATCAATAATAGGAACCAAACAAGGTAGGAATGAGAAATGGAAGAATGGAATAAGAGTGGGGATCCACCATATCCTCAAAACGTAACACCAAGTAAATATATATTTATATATATATCATCCGTTGGCCACAATTGTGGCCCATTCACTCTATTAGGATAATATATATATATATATATATATATTTAGTTCCTACTTACGAAGTGGCACACTTTGGGATCTTCCAGCCACAAGACCCCGCCGCGAGGTGGGAATCAAAAGGGAGTGGGCGAGAAGGTAAAAATAAAAATAAAAAATAAAGAATTAAATAGCCACTATCGGTTCCCTGCCCCACTAAAGTCGTATTCTTCCCAAAAATTCATAAGACAGAAAAGTGTCGTAAAGAAGCGCATTCGTTTTATTAGGATATATAAATTAATTAAATTCTCCAGTTCCCCCGTGATCATTCTCTTCACAAGCTCCTATAAACCACGTATCAGGGGCTTCAGATGATGTACTAAACCATATTTTGGCCCATTGGATATCCAAGTTTTTTCATCTGGTGCTCATTTTGAGCCAGTATACATCCGATTGTGGCACAGTAGGCGATGTCCGCTAGCATTTTTAGAGAATCATTATTAAAAATGATGGCCAATATACTCAAAACACATGAACAGCAAATAACAGCCACATCACAACAATCATTCTCCAGATTATAGTGCTGAAGTACCATGAAACGATTGCCGTGCACTGCGCATGAAAGACAAAGAGTGGCCTCTAGGCACATGCAACAAGGCTCAACTCCTTTACCAGAAAAGCAAGAGAGATCTCCACACAGTCCGGCGCAGCAGATGTAACGTGACCAGTCACCAAGTAATAGCCTTTTGCGTTGCATGATGGTACAACAGCAAGGACAAAAACACGCACCTAAGCAGAAACACGGCTCATTACAAGGTGCAAGGATCATACTTGTCGCCCATTTGTTCGAGCCCTCCCAGTTCTCAACCTCACTGTAATCGGCCGGCGCGGTGTAATCGAAGTACGATGTCTGAGCGGGCAAGGCTGGTGTATTAGTATAAGGCAATGCATTACCGGATGCTGGTTTCCCGTATTCTGGCTGAGGCGGTCCGTATCCTGGCTGAGGCGCCCCGTATCCTGGCTGAGGCGGCCCGTATCCTGGCTGAGGCGGCCCGTATCCTGGCTGAGGCGCCCCGTATCCTGGCTGAGGCGCCCCGTATCCTGGCTGAGGCGCCCCGTATCCTGGCTGAGGCGATCCGTATCCTGGCTGAGGCGGTCCATATCCTGGCTGAGGCGGTCCATATCCTGGCTGAGGCGGTCCATATCCTGGCTGAGGCGGTCCGTAAGAATAAGGGTAGCTGTTTCCGTCTGATTTCATCCTGTTTCACTTCTTGCAGTACAGGAAAGGAGTCGGAGGCAAAAGTAAAGAAAAGAAAAAGACAAAAGAAAGTCGTATCACCTCCATAAGAGTTGTTTTTTGGTTGTGCAGCAACAGCAACAGTAGACGGTAATTTATATAACTGACATTCGCCAAACTTCTTTTCTTGTCATTGTTTATCCAACACCTCACGTTAAGCCCAGCCATATATATATATATATTTCTTGACTAGAACCGCGCAACATAATGAATGTGATGCATTTGTCTTTACGCCTAGGCACGACCGAGAGGCCGACAACGCCACTCGATGGCCATTGGTTAGAATCTGAAAAAATTTCGATACCCCCTTAATTCCAAAGTCAGGGTTGACAAGTACCAAAGGCCCAAGACCACGCTCGTTCCCCATGATTGCCATCATAGTCAGCCTTTCCCAGGCACCATTATTAGCGAGGCAAATGAACGGAAAGGGGGCGCGGTACACAGCATATAACGTAAAAACAAAAATATAAGAGAAGTCAAGAACTTTATTGGCTGCCCCCCATGTATTCAAATCTCTTCTCTTCACGTTATTTCATGGTGGCTTTCACAATGAAAAAACATCCACAGCAATTAATGGACGGGATTGAAGTTTTATGGGCAACAGTGCGGTCTTCTTGTTCTTACCGTGAAGTCCCCTTTTATAACTGGCCAGCGTGCTTTTCATTTACAGCCGTGTGGGGCCACGATTCTGTCGAATTGTAAAAGACTTCTTTAACAGTTAAGAGAGCCTCTTTGCTCCATGTACTTGCCTCTTCGCCGCTATCCTCCTCACTTACCAACAAAAATCGAAAAAGCAACAACAATGGATTGCACCTCATATAAAAAGAAACAATCCAAAAATAAAAAGAAGAGAAGAAAATCACTCGAAAATGAAGCAAAAAAAGGGGTAAAAAAGGACAAGAGAAAAAGTGGGAGGTACACGGGTACGCCAAAACCATAAAACTCATCTCTTTGACACCCCCCTATTCCAAACACATACACACACACACCACTAGAAACACATTAACGGTTAAACCTACGCTATGGGAATAAGCTGTCGCTCAATCACTTCGTACACCTTATTATGAGTTTCTTCACGACTTAGACGTGATCCTGCGCAATCACAGCAGTCCGTATGAAACCAGTTGGACATGTTTTCACAGCACCACAGGTATGTTTTTCTGACATTTTCCTTGTATGCGCGCTGTGCAGTCTCATGAATGTCGAGTGATCCTCGGTTCGGATCCACCTTCATGGCAGAGAACGCAGCATGTGGAGGGAGATCAAGGTAAAGGACCAGGTTTGCTGGAGGAAGCCGGAGCCACGAGACCTCCATCAATTGGAGATGGCCAATAAATCCAGCTCGTTCTTCCTCTGGGAACTTTGAAGCCTGATGTCCACAATTTGCCGTGTAATACCGATCCAGAACAATCTTCGTCCCACGGCACATCCAGTACTGAAGCTCAGGCAAAAAAGCAAAACGATTCATGGAAAATAACAAACTAAACAGCTTGGGATCCAGATCTTGTATTCCGCCCTTTTTTCCTGACAGAACCTCACGAAGAAGCTCACCATAGCGATTTCTTTCTGAAGGGAATTCAATACTTGAGACACGGTGTCCCTCATCCACAAGGCGGTCAACTAAAAGCCTCGCTTGCGTTGCCTTCCCCACCCCATCCCCACCCTCAAATACAATTACTTGGCTCACGCTTGCGTTGAAGGAAAAAAATGCCTTCACAGCCAGGAGCTGTGCCTGCAAAAGGCCGCCCGAGAGATCCACATGGAGGGAGGAAATGGTCTCCAGCAAGGGGATCGAAGTGGAGGCGATGCTGCCTTCTTCAAGTGACAGAACAGCTATACGTCTACGGAACAGAGCGTAAACAACGCCCGCATCCTTCAAACTCCCCTTCTCTGTGATGAGGCATATAAAAGTATTGACTGTTTCTTGTTGCTTATTCTTTCGACGTAATACCTGGACTACTGAATTGTGGCAATTTACAAGTTCGACGGAATCCCCCACGGTGGCTGCCTCCGAGGCAACAGCAGTACAAAGCGCTTCGCTCCGGACGTCCAGAAAGACAACAATCTTCATCCTTTCTACCTAAAAAAAAAAAAAAAAAAAAAAAAAAAAATAGAAATGATAAAAACAATCATATGCTCCATGGATACACAAGTAGAAAAAAAGGTGTGTGTGTGTGTGTGTGTGTGTGTACTGATGACGATGGGCCTAACTTTCCCTCAAAGGGGAAGAAAAAATACACACAGCAAGCTCTTTTACCTTAATTTATACCACTGATGCCTGCATTGGGCAGCAGCGCGACGCACCACGCGTTTATGATCAGCCAGCAAAATCTGTGTTAGATGCAGTACCCCTTCTTTCTCCCTTGCAATGATTCTTTTATAATTTAATTCATCCTCGTTATTCGTGGCAGTTAACTGAACGGCAAACATAGCTACCTCCGACAGCAGGCGTAGGGCTGTGCATCTTGCCTGTAGGTCTGAAGACCGCACAGCACTCAGCAACATCTGAAAGAGAGCACCATCATTTGTCAAAATCCGTTTCATGAAAAAGACTTTGGAGTCTATGCGAAGGAGTACACAATCCAAAAGTTGCAAAATGCCAATAACATGACCTTCGGACGGTTTCTGTCGTGCCAAATTCTCGCATACTTCCAGAATGCTACTCCAATCAAACTCCAAACCAATTGCCTCTTTTCCAAGAAGTTGAAGAATAACATTCAATACTTTATCTGGCATAGGGATGTTGCTAGTTCGTACGGCCTGAATAAAGGGAACAAGAAGGGTAACACATTTATTCGAGCCCAATGATGGCGAGAAAAAAGTGGCTGTCAAAACTTCATCAATGTCTACACCACTACAAATTGCGTCCAGTAACCTTAATATTATACCCTTCACCTCACCATCCATTGCTAAGCCAGCCTTTATTAGACCACGGGCTGCAGCTGCATGCACGGCAAGCTGAAGCTCTGGATCTAGGCCTCTTGACCTTGTTAAGAAACCCTCTAAAGCGTTTGGCGCGTGGGCGCATATTGCCGACACGCCTTGTATCGTTACGCGTCGAAATTCTTCTTCCTGAACGGCATTCAACATCTCCGTTACCCAGTGCTCCAGGGTCTCTGAAACATGAAGCACATCCGAGTCACAGGAAGAAAGCAGAGCGATCACCAATATGCTCCACCTTTTTCCGTCAACCATCTGCAGCACCGTTTTCTCAATTGAACATAAAGAAATACGCACAAGCAGTTCACACAAAAATTCCAAACTCGCGGGCAAATTTTTCAAAACCACGATTTGCAACAAATGCAAAATATCTTCTTCTGAAAAGTCTGCATTTTCTGAAAGAGCACGCCTGCACAAAGAAAACACATCTGATTCAGAAAGCCGTGATTCAACCAAAGACCGTAAAGGATTTAACAAAAGTTCCATGGCCAAAAGAGCGACAGGAACAGAAGACATCAAAAGAGCATTAAAAAGTGTGATAATCCCAGTAGCGTTGAACTTCGTTTCTTTTTCAAGTAAATGAACGATAGCATTATTCAAACCATTCCCCTCAAGATGACCAATACGAGAAATACATCGGGCAACCTTAATGTGAATTTCCTCATTGCCCTGTAAAGAAATCAACAAGAGATTTTCATACGACAACTGAACACTCTCCACAGGCATCCATGGATGCAGATATACATCCAAACTCAATAGGGATGAAAGTAGTTCACACATGATGATCTTTGAGGAAGATTCAGCCATTTTTAGGGCCAGTAATAGGGTTTCCACAAGCCGGAATAATTCTGGGGAGCTCAACTCCAGACTTCTCTTCACGTCATCCAGAGTTGACGACAATCCATGGTGCACCTCATCGGTGGTACACAGATCTAAAATGCCTGTAAAAACAGCTGAAAGAATAATAAAAGCATTTTCTTTCCCACCATCAATCTCGTTCAAATTCATTAATAGCAACGGCAAAAAATGAGACAGAAGGGAAGTACCACAAGAAGCATCACTGCGGGCTAAATGGTAAAACATGGTAGCGTATGCAGAACATGTTGCACTTCCAGAATTCAAACTTGTTAAAGCACCACTAATTGCTGGTTCTATCCAGGAAGCTATGACTGGGGATAAAACCCCATGAGATCTTTTGCCAATAAAACTCAAAAGATTCATACAATCTCGTATGTATGAGTCCCCCTCACTAAAACCCAGAGATACACCCTTAATAACTTCATTCCGTACGTGACTTACGACGGGAAGTATATGGGGACTCAAATCGTTCATGTCGTGTGCCGATTCAGGAGAAAATAATTCCAAAAGGACGGCTATGGACTCCTGCTTCACAAAAGATGACGGAGACGACAACCTTGACAAAGTAAATGAAACGCAGGGATCCAAATAAAGTGGGCAAGTCATACACCGAGTAAGACTTCGTTTCAATTCCTCTCGTGTCACACTGCACCCTGGTGGCCGGGAAAATACTACTGGAAAATAACTAGAAATACTGTCAAAATATTGTTCCTTTAGAGGAACAATGTTATTTTTATCAACAAAAAAACTCAAAAAATAGTAGAGCTCAAACATATGCAACACAAGTTCCGGCTCCCCTTCCTCGTCCATGGCTTCCAGAAGCAAACAGAGAACGGGTGTGGTAAGCCATGACACGGTGGCCTCTGAAACCATGTATTTAAGGATTTTAAATCCACTACGCCGGACTCTTGTTGGCAAAGCCTGTAACCTAACATTGGGTAGAAAACCATTAGCTAACTCTGTAAAAACGATCTTACTACAAGGCCGCTGGGAAGACAAATATTCAATAACTCTCGTAATACATTCCACGGAAGTTTCAATTGTCTGCAAAGAGGAAAGCTTTTCTAAAAAAAATTTCAGTACGACGACGGCCTCTTCATCTAGTAGAGTTTTTCGTCTTGTTGTGGCCAGGCTCAAAACAAAAAGCGCTTCAATAATATGTTTCTCATCTGTAAGATATCTACTCATCATGCGGCACAACTGAAGAAGAGGCACTTGCCGTAGCTTCTCAAAAGTTTCCTCATCGCAGTTGAGACCCATTGAAATGGCTCTTTCAATTATATTATCTACTTTTTCTCCGGACATAGATGGCATTGTGTTGCTCTACACCCACTCTCCCTAATACCCTTTCCTTTTTTTTTTTTTTTTCCTTTTTGTCTTTTCAATAAAAACGACAAAAGAAAGGCTTTTCAAGCTTGTAGGTTTTATTTTAAAATGGATTTATTTCCGACCATTCAAACGCCCAAAGCAGCCAATTCATTCAGAGAGATTATGCAATCAGGAGGGCAAGACACAGATCCTTTGTGAATCACTTACACATACGGCACATGTGCCTGATGCCAAGCCTGTAGAATGTCTTAAATAAACAGATGGTAACTTAATTGTGCCAATACAAAGTGGTTGCAAAATAATTTCGGTTGACTTGAAAGTATTAGGGGCCAGGCAGAAACTCCACTGAGTTCTCCCGTTCATTAAAAAGCAACCGTTGTTTTTTTCCATCAATAACTCACAGTTTTGAAAATTCTCTGTCTTGTTGGTGATATCAAAGGAAATCAAAATTGGGGAACCAATAATGGCAATTGAAGGACCCCTCAGAGACAACACAAACGGGGTATCTTCCACTTTCACTTCAGGTAGGGGAAAATCAGAGATAATATGTTGTGCTCCGTTTCCTGGGGCCAAAATCATTCGAATAAAGCCCAAAGAAAATTTTCCTGCATTCAAAAGACGAAATTTAATGCTCAACGTCAAGACTTCCAAATGCTCAACGTGACAAGGAAGCAAGCTAACTACCACCGACGAAAGTGAAGCATCCTGAGTGCAAACAACATCCAAATTTTTCACCATCAATCCTTGAGGTGCACGGCATTCCATAGAGGCCAAAAGAATAATTTCTTCCCCCTTTGAAGAAGCAAAGTTATCGGAATGATCTTCTCTTTCTGTGTGAGCAATATATACAAGAGAATCTCGGTTACTTTGAATCGTTGGAACATCGTCTCTCGTACTATAACGTGGATGAACCAAAGTAAACCTTTCATGTTGTATGGATACCCGAGAGAATTCTGGCACACGGAGAGTGGTTTCGGATCCCACAATCACATCACCCTTAATTGGTGTCACCATCCACGGCAAGACCTTCAAAAAAGTATAGGTTGTGGAGAAGGGATAAAAAACATTCAGCTGAATTCTTTTTAGTATCTCCACGTCTGAATAATTTCCTGATTTGTAATAAAACAAAATAGGAACCATGTATTTTCCAGCCCGAAGACAACGGTAATTCAGTGTGACATATAACGGATGATCACAAGAAATAAAGGCAATATTATCCAAAATGACAGTGCGATATCCCTTTCTAAGACCCTCACCCATTTTCATTTTTTTCTCTTGACATGCATCCCAAACAAATTCGTACAAACTGGGGACATCGTGTATTACAAGAGTACCATTTCCAGTTAAATCCTGCTTCGAATTTACCACAATATCAAAATTTACTTCCTCTCCTTCAATTCCTGCAATGTTCCTCGGGACCTCGATATCGACTCCACACACCGGTCGGACTATGGAAATCCACGGCTTATGATACAGTAGCCCAGAAATACTTCCAAGCATTTCCGTCCCTCGTAAAAAGGGGTTTCCACCCAGTGATTTCTCAAGCCTCCACTCAACATTTATTTGTATACCAGCACAATTTACACGCCCTCGGACACTCTTACAATGGTAAGTTCCCGGTTTATCAAGAGCCAAAGTGAGAGAAGCAGAAGAAGGTGTATTTGAACTCAGTTTTAGACCTTTATCTGAGACCAAATACATACTTAAATCCTCCACCCCATCACTGGATAACCAAGAAACCACAACATACAGCGAATCCACAATAATCATTTCGATTGAGGCAGTAAAAAGTGAAAATTGTATTTCGGTCTTAGTCGCACAAACATGATGTTCATCTTGAAATCTACATAAGATTGTGAATGGTGCAAAATGACCTCTTCTTGGATATGACAGGCTAAAATGATTCAATTTGTTTTGTTTCATCAATTCCGTAAATTGCTTCATATAATTCTTTTGTTCCATCCCTACAGCGGGCCCAAAGCAAAGCGACACATATGAGAAAAGAACATCTTCCCGAATATTCTCTTTGAGATTACCGCCAGTAGATTGCATGGCACACATCCAAATTTTATGTACCGCCTCAGCTTCCTTGTATGTTCCAATACGTAGTCTTCCAAACCTCTCCAAACAAACGAATACCTGTTCCCATGCATGAAAGCTAGCATGAACCCCAACAGAAATATAAAACGCGTCAAGAGACAAACTGTTGTGTGATTCAATTTCACTCAGTAAATCCTTCACACGTACTGATAAAGTTCTCATAGAATTATTACTATAGAAGATGCAATTGTGTGATTCCAGGTGACATTCTGTACCAACAAAAACGGGAGCTACAGTGTGTCTTTTCGAGGAACCAGATGGCTGGTTTAGTTTAATAGCTTCCTCAAATGCCCCCATTGCTGCAAAAAGATAATCTCGTCGAGTCTCATCAGCCACATAACGACAATTTCTTAACAACCATTCATAACATTCCCCTACAAGTATGAGTCGAAGAAACCCAGCCATAGGCTTAAATTCAGGTGAACCGCAAGGAATAGCCCTTCCAATCCACATAATATGGTCCTCACAAAGTCGACAATACATATCATCGGAAGAAATAGCCGATTCCAAAGCAACAATGTGTAATACACGAAAAAGAAGAATGGTACCACAGATACGCAGCTCCATCGCTGGCCAGAACGGAGCAATCTTTCTTAGCGTTCTATAAGCATTTTCAAAGTGTTTTTGGGCGTTTTTTGTATCATTCAAAACAAGACAATGCCAACCGAGTTTGAAACCACGTCTCACCAAAGGGTAACTCGGCTCAAGTTTAGAATTTTTTAGACGCGACATTTCATCTTTATGGTACTTTGTAGCTAACCCCACTGCCATTTGAAACAGTTTTTCTGCACTCTCCTTCCCCATTCCCGATTCATACAGGGGCAAAAAATTCTTAAAATCACTACCAAAAAACATCTTCAAATCATATTGCAGTTTTTCAATCTGCGCGGTAGAGTTCGCACTTGTTCTCATCGTATTTTCAGTGACCAGGGCGATAATAACTTTGCTACGGAAACTACGCGTATATTCCTTTAACTGGCTACAAACGCCAGATAACCAAACTTCATCTATCGCCGTTTCTCCCAGCTGATCCCAGTCCAAACAAACAAGAACACAGCTACATCTTAATCGGAGATGCTTTGAACACCAATTGCTCTTCAGTATACCCGAAATTTCAGCACCTAAGCTAACATTCACGCCTTTATTTAAAAAAGCTTTTACATCCGAAAAGTAGTTAATCCGAAAACGCACGCGAGAATCAAAGAAATACGATAAACCCTCAGCAATCCGAAGATTTTTTCTACCGAGTACCGCAAGAGAAAAAGACGGATTGGCATCCAAGTAGTCCCGATAGGCATCATCATTATAGAGTTGAGAAAGAAATTCCATTCCAATAACTTGAACATCTCATTCGCAAAATAAAACAAAAGTTGTAAAAGTAAGAAGAAAAAAATACATCGCAAGAAAATTCGCAAAAGCATTAAAAAAAGAGATAAAGTAATAAACAGTATGGAAGAACCCACAAAACAAAAAGAACAAAGAAAGAAAGAAAAACAAAAACAATGACAACACAAATAAATTTATCTCGAAACCTGCACAGACAAATTCAAGATGTACGAAAGTTCAGCACGACGAATGCCAATGGATCCTAACGAAAACGTAGTGCTCACTCCCTCTGTTTTTAAATGCGCACACCATAACAATCAATAATTGCCAACATCGCTGGCCATAAATAGCCGCGGCCTGGCCCTACCAAGTGCCATTGTCACCATCAAAGATTGAAAAAACTTCCCGTGCAAGGCGCGAGGCCCCTCTCTTTCCCGAAGCGGCGGCGGAAGCGCGTCCTCTTTCACGTCGCCTCGCCTCGCAACGTGGGGGAAAACGCCGCCTTTATTATTATTGCCGGCCCGTGGGTGATAGAACTCATCTAAAGAAAAGCAATGAAAAAACCATATAACACGTCTGCCCGCTGGCTCTGGAACAACTTCGTCCGTAATTGCTGGGCCGGTTCCTGGGGCGTGTGGGGCAACTCGTATGGTCGAAAAGGGTATGGCGTTCGCTGTGGCCTCACCACCGTAACTATTGAGGGAAGGGAGGTGCTGCTTGTTACCACGCCGGTGTATTTGGAGTAGAAAAAAGGGTAGGGGTCGGCCTCATCTTTGGGTGACGGACGGTGCACGTGTGCATGATGCTGGGCCGATATCCGATGCAGCTGATGACGCTGCTGCCAGTTCCCTGCTGTATAGCAGTGGGGGCGATCCGATTTTACTGTACGAGAATAGGAGTGAGGGGTCATACGGTCTTGTTGCCGTGCACGTGGCTACGCAGCTGGAGCGGATAAAGACTGTGGTGAAGAGGTAGCAGGAGTTGGATGAAGCCTTAAGAACGTGCAGACCCACTGCCACTATCGACCCGGTGAAAAGGGGCATGTGTATTTGTCCCATTCTTACTGACGGGCTTGTTGGCTATTTGTCTGGTCTGTCAGCTGGGAGTGAGTTGATGGACGAGTACCTCTGCGTGAACGCGACTGTTCATGGGACGGTGCGAGGGTTCTCCAATGGAGTGACGTTTGAAGGACCCGGAGCAGGGGCGGGGTGGCCTGTTGCCCGAAGTGGAGAGAATCAACCGTACCATTTCGTACACAAAAGGTTCACTCTAGTGGTGATGGCAGTCATCCACGATGAGCCGAAGAAACGCACCTCCATTCCTTTGATTCGTGTGGTGATGGATGACGGGGACAGGACTGTGCTATTTGGTGTGTTTACACCCATGATGGGAGGTGGATGACTGTAATTCATAGTGGCGGTAGACAAATACTTCCAACAGGGTGGGACCCAGGAAAACCGTGTCAGGTGGTGCTGCGACACGACACGGGCAATTTGGATTTGTACATTAACGCGAGGGTGGCTTACTTTGGCACCTACAAGGGGTCTCTTCTCCAAACAAACAGTATTTCACACATCCAATTCCACGGGAAGAGTGGGGAAGTTGCAGAATCCAGCCATTTGTCACTCTCCAATGCCCGTTTGTATAACCGAGGACTCAATTCCAAGCATATGAGATGGCTCATGGTCGGCGAGGCAGGCCCAAAATACGATGATGGCAGCTCTTATTCTGCGAGCGCATCGGAGGAAGGAAACAAAGGTGGCGGTTTCAAGCCAGAGATTTCATCGAAGAAGCCAAATGAAGGTTCCAGCTTCATGTATAAGAATGCGTCTCTGAAGCTCTTATTTCTTCGGGGGCGTTGGGGCTTTGCGACTTTTTGCTGGTTTTAAAACTGTGGCGTTCTGTTTTTGTTTTGAAACCTAGTGTTTCTGCGTGTTCTATTTTTAAATATTGTATGCATGTAGTGGTTACTTTTGATTTTTATATTTTATATTTTATTTTTTAAAAGAATTCATGTAAAAAGTAATGTTATGGTTTCAGTCAGGGATTACCGACGTGGGGTCCTGTTTTTTCCCTTTTTTTTGATGTTGTAGTCTTGCGAAAACGAATGGATATAATGAGTGGTTCCTTTCTAAAGATTACTGGAACTGGTGGCACTTTGCGCAGCGCCGATGCGTGTCGGTGAAAATTAAGGGTGAGAGCTGGGAGAAGCAAAGAATAGATTTTCACTTTGGAATATAAGTGTTTTATGAAAGTGAAGTTATAAGCAGATTAAATAAATAAATAAATACATATTTTTTAGCCCACATAGAAAGCCAACTTTAGTGATCCCACAGGGATCTTTTGGGATGACTTTTATCTACCTGTTTTGATCCGTTTTTTTGAATGTGCATGAAAATAGCGTTGAGTAAAAGCTCTGCCATTTTTCTCTAGAAAAAAAATAATTGTTTTTTGGCATTTTCATTTTACTTGGACTGCTGTGCGATAAATAGTGTAACCAGTTTTTTTTCTTCTATTTTCCGTACTGGAACTCGGTTATTTCCCTTTACTTTTTTGTGCAAGCTCACATGCATTACCTTTTTTTTTGTTCTTTGCGTGCCTGCGGAAAAACAGATATCTACAATTAGACGATATATGCATTATGATGCAGCTGGATGCTCTTCTCGCACTCTGTACCAGAAGTTACGTGTGGTTTTTTGCTTCCGTGGCCAGGGAAGGAGGAGAGCAAGCGCGCACCGCGAGTCTCTTTTTCTCTTGGGGAAATAGCGCACTCCGTGTGAACTCATGGAGTGAAGCGCCGCGTTATAGCTGGATGGATGGAGATCCGCTTCCGCTTGTGGCTCATTGGGTGATTGCTCGCTCCGTGTGCGTTGTATGCCGGCAGCGGGCTGTGGCCGTATCCCGTTGGCCGTGGGATTGAACTGGAGGCGGTGGCGCTGTGTCTCTTCTTCTCTTCCATTGGTGTGTGGCTGCTGGCGGTGTGTGCGTTTGTTGTGTGGAGGGCCGAATCTTCTCACCCGCGGACTGACGGCACTGCGATGGTGCGTGTGTGTGAGGGCTGGTGTGGAGTTGCCGGCCAGTGCGAGGGCTGTGGCGATGCTTTTCCCGCCTGTCGTTTGTTTCTTCCGTGTGTTGTGCTGCCTTTTGCTTTTTTCCCCCTCTCACCCTTTTCTCCTGTGTTCCTGCGTGGAGTGGCCGCATGCTCACGGGCCATGTTGATTGTGAGTGCCTCCTGACGGCATCCGTCTCCCTCTCTCTCCCTCCGCCTGTCTGTCTGTCATTCCCTGTTGTGTGTGGCGTGTTGCACCGCGTGAGGGCTGGCCCGCACACACCGACGGCCCGCCGTGACTTGCAGTGTTACTGCTCTTTTCTGTGGGCGATGGCTCTCCGTGCTGTCCCTTCCGGATTGTCTCGTGCCCGCTCTCTGGGTGGGTGCTCTGCTCTGCTCTGCTCCTCACTGACCTTTCTGGTGTATTGCCGCTGTTGTCTGTTGCTCCCCTCCAAGAAGGAAGTTACTACCAAGCGCTAATCACTACTGTGAAACTCGAAGGCTCTGAAAGGACCAACAACATCACACACACACCGCCCACACACATATTTATATGCTCTCACGTGTTGCTGCAGTGAAGGCACCCCGCACACACAACCGTCGCCGCGTGACCGGATCCAGCGGAAGGAGGAGGGAAGGAAGAGAGAGTGAGCCGCAGAGGCTCAACATGTCCCGGCATGTGTTTGATTCTGCGGTGCTGCTCCTCGTTGTGATGATGTGCTGCGGCACCTGTGGAGCTGCGGCTGCTGAGGGCAGTATTCCAGGGAATGCCATTGATCCGTTCACAGTGACGACGCCGGTATCATTTGCTAATTGGAAGGAGTTTAAGGACGGAAGCAAAATCACCTCGCTCCGTGTTCCTGGCCTCGTTAAAGTGGGTGATGATGTATTTGCCGTTGCTGAAGCGCAGTGCGGGGAAAGGAATGGAGCCGGCAGCTGTGCTGGGATTTTCTCAAAGCACCTGGATATAAGTGATGACTCAATGGATATTTCTACGTCGGATACAAGTTTGTTTTGCATGCAACTTGTGAACACTGCCGCGAATAGTTTTGGGACAACGGAATTGTTGCGACCAACGACACTTGTACTTGGGGACAGTGTTTATATGCTCCTGGGAAACTACAGCCGTACAAAGCCGCAGGTTGAACGCACGAATGAGAGGGGCCTTTTACTCGTGAAGGGAACTGTAGCTGTTGAGAGTGGAAACAACAAGAAACTTGTGTGGAATGAGACCCATTTGGTGAAGCCTCAAGGCAAAGGAAAATCTGTTTTCTTGACCGAATTTTTGGGTGGCGGAGGCTCGGGTGCTGTGTTGCGTGACGGCTCGCTTGTGTTTCCCATGCAGGCCAAAGACAAGGATGGAACGAGCTTTTTACTGTCCATGAGTTTTGACCCGTCAGACAAAAAATGGGAGCTTTCACGCGAGACGCCTGGTAACGGCTGCAGGGATCCAACCCTTGTGAAGTGGGAAAAATACGAAGGCGACAACGAAAGACTCTTCATGATGGCTCATTGTGCTGGAGGCTACTATGACGTTTACATGTCCACTCCTCATGGAGTCAATTGGTATACTTCGGGTGAGCCAATTACCCGCGTGTGGGGCAACTCACACAATCGAACAGGGTACGGTGTCCAGAGCGGATCTACCACCGCAACCATTGAGGGAAAGGAGGTGATGCTCATCACCGCGCCGGTGTATCCAGAGGAGGACAATGAAGGTGGAAAAGGTCGGCTCCATCTTTGGGTGACGGACAAGGCACGTGTGTATGATGTTGGGCCGGTGTCTCGTGAAGATGATGACGCCGCCGCGAGCTCGCTGTTGATAAAAGATAATAATAATGAGTTGATTTCACTGTACGAGAACAAGAAAGACGGTGGATCATACAATCTTGTCGCTGTGCGTCTGACCGAGAAACTGGAGCGGATAAAGGAAGTGGTGAAGACATGGAAGGATTTGGACAACGCCTTGAAAACATGCCGTTCCGGTTCCAGCGGCACTGTTGACGCGCTCAGAAAGGGTATGTGCAATGGTCGTGTTCCCACTTATGGGCTTGTTGGCTTTTTGTCTGGTAAATCAACTCAGACCGAGTGGAGGGACGAGTACCTCGGCGTGAATGCAACAGTGACGAATGGGAAGAGAAGGGTTCCCAATGGATTGACGTTCGAGGGGTCCGGGGCAGGGGCGGAGTGGCCTGTTGGCGAAATGGGGCAGACTGTGCCGTACTACTTTGCGAACAACAAGTTCACTCTTGTGGCGACGGTGTCCATCCACGAGGTGCCGAAGGAAGGCAGCATTCCTTTGATGGGCGTGAGGATGAATGACACCGACAGCACGGTGCTCTTTGGTCTGTCGTACACCCATGAAAAGAAGTGGTTGGCCATACCGGAGGGTGCTGGTGATGCGGATGATTTTGTTGAGTGGGAGCCAAACAAGACGTATCAGGTGGGACTGCGAATGAATTCTGATTGTTGGATTGCCTTTGTAGATCGAGAGGAAATTGACTGCAAGGGATATGATGAGAATCTGTTTGACTCGCACAGGATTTCACACTTCTACATCGGTGGGAGCAGCAAGGACCAAAGTGCAACGGGCGGCCACGTGACGGTGACCAACGTCATGCTATACAACGAGAAGCTGTGGGATGATAAGCTGTATAAACTCAAAACCAGGAAAGTCAATATTCCATCACTGGGTGTCGAGGAACATCCCACAGAACAGGTGACCGGCACAGACGTTTCTGTTTTTTCCGAGTCATGGAGTGAAGAAAGCGCCAGCTATGAGGAATTGAATGGGGATGATACTGATGAACAAGAGGAAGGAATCGTCAATGATCCGGTGCATGCAGCGCCCCCTTCCACGGTTGTCGCGGGATCATCTGTTCCTGAATCCGCCACCGCAGCGCAGAGCGCAGAGAATGACCGTCCAGAGGACAATGCCCAGCTTTCCGAAGACAAAACGTCTCAGCAAGCCACAATGAATGAAGGAAATAAATCGATGCAACAGGATTCAGATGTGCAGACACAAGACCCACAGCCAGCGGAATTAACGGGGGTCACTAATGTTGAAATGTCCTCTGGAAGTTATGCTGAAGAGCAGCCAGAGGAGGATGGAGGAACGAATGACCGGAGTGGCGGAACAACGTCTCCAGTAGCTGCGTCGTTGAGTATGGATACGGCCACTGCACCAGCTGGCGGTGAGCACCAAGTGCAACAAAGCACTGAGCCTTCCGCTGAAAACGACGACGTGCGGTCCACTGGTACCGGGACCACCGGCGCGGAGGAAAGCCTCATCCTCGAGGCGGGGGACAGAAATTCCGAGAGAACAATGGGCTCAGACAGCAGCCTCACTCCTTCAAAGAGTGACGCCGAACCTACAACCGCGGAGGACGCCGACAACATCTCTCGGACTGAGAGGGCCGAAGTTTCTTCTGAAAACGGCAAGGAGGCGCCACAGACGGTCGACACCGCACCGGGTAACACAAGCACAGCGCCTGGGGAAACCGAGATCCCATCGGAGTCCAACGCTACAACACCATCAGACACTGACATTTTGCTTGAGAACGGGCATTTGAGCGAGTTGGCGGCCATGTCTCTAATTGCTGACAGCACCGTGCATGTGTGTGTATTTCGGGTGTTGCTGCTGCTGCTTCTGGGGCTGTGGGGCACTGCGGCTCTCTGTTGAATAAATTTGGGAGAGCAAAGTTGCGAAATTCTGTGGAGCAACAACTGAGCGGCATCCCAGCAATACTCAATGAGTTTTGTCAAGGGTACTTTCTTTTTTTTTCTTTTCTTTTTCTTTTTCTTGTTTTTGCTTTAATTATTTCCCTTCTTTTGTTTGTTGCCTTGGGGCAACCAATATGAACGTTTTCCTTTTCTACTCTTTACAATTGTTTCTTCTGCACTCTTCCTGCGAGGGGTGCCGTGTTTTTCCCGCCCAACTGCTCCACTCGCACACCCACCGACACGCTCTCGACGACGGCCCTGTGCGCCTCGCCTGCTGCACGCATGAGGAGGGGCCGCGACGAACGGCACGCTGAGGTAGCCGTGACGTGTGGGCGTGCGACGAGGGACTGTGGGGCGGAGCACACATTTCTTTCCTTTTGTTTTTTTTTGCTGCGCTCACTCTCCCGATGGAGTGACGCGACTGCCGTCATGTCTGCGTGCTTCTCTCAGTCCACACACACACGAGTGACTGTGCTCTGCGGGCCGCACTCACGCGCCGATGAGAGGGCTGAGGGGAGCGGCAACAGGCAGATGACCCCATGAAATATAAACGATGTGCGGACACATGGAGGGTCGGACGGTTGAAGGACATTTAAATATCTTTTAATTTTATTTTAGGACAAAATATATGCAGACAATTTCTGGAGCAACATGGTGGTTAGGTGCTTTTGGTGTGTGTTTTTTTTATTGTGTGGGTGTAGCCGTAATAAAGGACGACTTTTTTTTCTTTCATTTTTTAAATTTTTCATTTTTTTCCTGTTTTTTTTTTCAAAGTGTGAGGTGTGGAAAGGTGAGGATGAATTTTTTTTTATTTTAATAATTTTTTATGAATTGCCGCTGCTTGGTCTGCAGTGCAATATCATGAGTTTGAGCAGTCTTTCCTTCCTTATTTCTGCTCCTGCTTTTACTTCTTTGCCTCGTGTGTCTGCAGGCACACACAACCACATGCACGCACAAAATGCACATTGTAGTGGATTTGGATGCTTCTTTTGTAGCGTGTGCTGGCGGTTGCGGGGGGCTGCTGCTTCCTCCGTGTGCATGAAGGGAAGGAGGAGAGATGGAGCACACGGCGAGTCACTCTTCCTGCGGGTGTGATGCGCGCGGTGGGCTGCGACTGCTGTGGAGGGCCGCATTCCTTTCGGTGTGCGCTTCTCCGCCGTTGTGCCGTTCGCTTGCACATGTCATTTGTTGTGCGTGTGCGTACTAGACATGTGTTTCCGGAGCGTTGGGCGGCCACCACCATTCTTTTTTGGCTTGTGTGAGTGGGCACGTGTGGATGAGGGTCAGGGCGCATGGAATGAAGGAATGGCGTGAGGAAAGGGGAATTTGATTTGGAGGGTGTTTGGACCGGATTCACTTGGCTGCGGTGGCCACATGCACGACGGATGTGTTTCCGCATAATGGGGGAGGATGCGACAGGGTTTTCCGAAGTGGCCCGTCAATGCAATTCGGGTTTCATAGCACTGAGGCAGAGTGGTCTTCCTGCAATGGCTGGTGACGGCCCTAGTGGACCGGTGTATTTATGCTGCTGCTGCTGCTGCTCGAGGAGGCGTAGAAGTGCGATTTGAGGTGAGCGGCGGAAGGGCCACACATCCCGCAGTGACGGTCGTCGTTGGCCCACCGGGTGCCTCTGAAGGTTTTGTTGGATGCAACGTCCTTATGCCCGTCTCTGGATGGCGACATCCCTGATGCAGCCAACGAACGGGGCTGCGAGCGACGGTGAGACGCAAGCACGTGTGGATGTTCGGAGCGGCCGGCGCACCGCACGCTGAGAGCATGGCACGGTGAGGACCGGACCCAGAAAAGGGACACCGCGTGGGACGTCAATCTTCACTGCAGCGACCGCCACCGAATTCGGATTTGCTCGCACCTTCTGCGGTCCCTCTTCCTCCCTCACTTCTGTGCCGAGGACTCTGCTGCGGGATCCAGCAGCGCGATGTTTGGCCGCAGGAGCATGGCCCGAACAAATGATTTGTGGGAGGGGATTTGCACTGCTACGAGAAGGAAAAAAATGTTGCTAGACGACCACCACTACAAGACCGGAGTGAAGTTGTGTTTTGTCCACTTGCGCGAGGGCGGCCTGCCACCTGGTCGGCTAGGAGGATTATTTTTTTTTTTGCGTCGTTGCGCTCTCTTTTTATTCCGCTGCGTTTTCATGCGGACCTGCGAAGGGAGATTTGCAAGAAGTTCCTGCGAGTCGTCCGTGCCGTCGTCGGAAAGGCGAGTTACCCCCTTGAAAAACGCTACTTTATAATTTTGTTTTGGGCGGGGAGTTCCTGTCGATTCAACGCGACTTTGTTTTGCGGATTTGATGCGTGTGTTTCCGAGCGGTTCGATCTGTGCTCCCGGCCCACTCGGATGTGGTGTGCGCCTCGACGTGAGGGTGCCTGCCAGCCGTTTTATTGCCTCCCCCGCTGTGGCTGCCGCCGCTGTCTTCTTCCCTTCCTGAGGTCCTGCGGCTTCTTGACAAGATGTTTTGGAGAAGGCGTTGCCGCTCTTATCGTCCATGATATTTTGATTCTGGTGTCGCGGTCAGGAGACATTGAACGAGAGGGTTTGCTGCCCTTTTGTTTTATTTGTCCTCTCTGCCTGACGGCCAGTTCTACACAAGCGTGCTCCTCGGCACCTCAGTTGGTGCTGGCGGGTTGCTCACAGTTGTCGCGGGCAATCGCATGCGCCAACTCGTCTCTGCTCCTTTTCAGTGTCGCATTTTTTTTATTGATTGACGGACGCCATTCTGTCCGGCGTGTCACCTTGATTGGATTGTGTGGGACTGCTCGCCAGGGCCATCGAACAAAACAGGCTGAAACCTTTAATTATTCAAGTGTCGTCTTGCGCACACGTATTTTTTTTTACGTTCTGTTGATGTGCACTCAAACAACGAGGTGTCCGGAACTATGCGTGCGTGGAATTCTTCCTGCCATGTGAACTGCGGGCATCACCGCGGGGCTGCCACTTTGACTCCGCAGAGTTGTTGTGTCTCTTCGCGGGGTTGGCAGGGAAATTCCATGCAGCCTGCTACTGCTGGTGTGTCCTCAAATGTTGTCACTCCATGCGAATGATGTGCTTCAGCGAGTGAGGGTGTTGGTTGGGTTTGTGTGCACACTGGTTCTGTTTGCTACTTTGTGCGGGCACGCAACGCTTGAGTGGTGGGAAAATGGAGCGGGGCGATGCATGGCCGTGTCTCGCCCATTGTCCACTGCACGATGGTGTGGGGCACATTGTGGTGTTGACTCTGCGATGTGACTGCTGTCCCCTGCGCGGCAATGGTGGTGGGTGGAGGAGAGTGTTGACCCGCGGCGGGAGGGTGGGATCGTGCCTCCTTTTCTCTTTGTTCCTTCCCTTTTTGAAGGTGTGCACCTATTTTTGGTGTCGGTGATGGGGCAAACAGACCGACAGACCAAGTGAATAAAACAAAATAGAAAAAAGGACGATAATGTGGCGGTGTTGGGGTTGGTTGCAGGCCTCGGCTGCTTCACCGACAGGCGTTGCAGTGCGGCTGCATGGCGTGCCGATCACTCCGCCGTGCGAGTGCCACGCCCAACGCCATTGGGACTGCGGGACGAAACAGCCGCGAGTGTCCTTTGGAGCCAGCGGCACCTGCAGGCCGCAGTTGGGCGGTGCGAGTGGGATGCTTCACCACACGGGTGTTGTGATGGCGCCTCGCCGTGGCTCTTGTGATGGTTCCGACGCTGCGGCTCGACATGTGTTGGGGAGTAAAGTGTGGCCGCAGTGGACCATGAGCAGCACCAACATGAGGCTGAGTGATTTCCTTTGGAATTATGTTGGCGGCAGGGCGGCCGTTGATGAAAGACTACAATGTGACGATGGAGGTGTTTGTTCAGGAGCTGGATGATTACGTACAAGACCAGCGGCTTCTTGAAGAAATTCTTAACTTGACTGCGTACCAAGCGCTGGAGGCCATTACTAGGCCTCTTCACGAAGGTGTGCTCTCTCTCGGGCAACGTGGGACTATGAAAGAAAGCATACGATCACTCCTCCTGCAAGGGGAAAACCAAACGGAGTACTCACGCAGGTACTGACAGAAGCGCGGCGGGAGGCAGAGGAAAGGCTAAGACGAACGCAAGAAATGAAATTTACCATTTCCACTAATATCGAAGAGGTACTGTTTAAGGGAAGAGCTCGCGTCAACGTAATGAAGCTGAACGACTTTCTTACGATGGAACCGGACGGCAGGGGCATTGTGGACACCAATCGGGATGTCATGCTGGAGGGGTTTCTTAGGGACCCCACGAAGTATATCCGTGATAAAGGAGCACTGAACGCCATACAGGCATCAGGTTGTTATTTGAGCATGAGGCGAGCTGTAAAGGGTGAAGTGGTCTTCGACGAGGATATACGCAGGCTTTGCGATAAGGGTGTCGACAATCCACCGGGGCGGTCATTGGCTGCTGCGGAGGTAAAAGCAACTGTTCATAACTCCACCAAACATTTCTTGGATGCAGCTGCCGAGGAGGCGAGGAACCCAACGACGACGAGCGCACCGGAGAAACTGGAGGGAGTGTACGAGTCTGTGCACAATGCGAGGCGGAGCCATGCGGTGGAACTTCCGGACGGCGTGGAGCGAAAGAAAACGGGGACGGGAATGGGGGTGCATGAGGGGAAGCCAGAACAGTAATGGTCGTACAGGGAAGCTGACGACGCTATCGAAGAGAATGACGCTGTGCAGCAATCCGGTGCAGCACCTCCCGTGTTGATGGTGCTTGCCTCGGAGAAGGGATGGCCGCACTCGTGGCATACGATACAGGATCTTCCTAAGGACGTTTTTGTGAACTGTGAGGTGGAACGAGTGTGGCGGATCGTCAAGGGCGATGTAACCGCGTGGTCCAGCCCTCACGGTGGGACCGACTTTAAGTTCGAGCGACGTGTGTTGATTGGGACGCCCGGGATCGGGAGTCGATGAATGCCGGCTCGCACCTCCTCTACCAGCCGCTGCACTGCGATGCCAAGAAACTCCAAGTGGTAGTCCACTGTTTTGGTGGACGAGATGCGTACGTGTCTGACAAGACTAGCAGGACGGTGACAAGATGCAGCGGTGAGGACATGTGCATCTCTGAGTTGAGACGTTTGGGGGGGTATGGGAGGAATGTGTATATTATCTACGATGTGGCAAAGGAGGGAACGCCGCCACCGAGACATTTTGCGCCTACTTCTGGATGGGGCATGATTGCGGTGCCATTCCCAAAGGTAGCCAACTATGATGAGTGGGCGAAGCAACCATAAGCCGCGCGAATCATCGTGAATTGCCCCGACGAGATGGATGTGAAGGCGATGTGCGCCTGGATGACGCGTGATGAGACCAAAGAGAAACAAGCGGAATACTGGAAGGTGGTTGAAGAACGCATGAAGAAAGTGGGACCGATTCCACGTCACGTCTTTTATGAGGAGGCGTTTAGGGAACGCTGTGGAGCGGTGAAGTTTGCATTGCAATCGATCAGCGAGGGAACCGTGAAAGAGCACTTTTCACGGGGAGGTGAGTCGCCGTGGTGTTCTGAGGATCCGTCCCACAGGCTTGTGAAAGTTGTTCGGGAAATATACGCAGGCGGTGTGATCCTTTTCAATGCACCGATATCTGCTTGCCTCGAGGAACGGACATTGGAACGGTTCCCAAGTGTAGCAGAATAAAATAGCTTTTGAGGCTGATGTTGGCGTCGAGGGATAATATTTTGCCCATATTTTTTGGATGGTTTGCTTTGAAATCGTTCACGGAGAGTGCCTTTGTCAAGGCAATGGCGACGAAACTCACGGAGCTTGAGCCGCCAACAGGACGTCAAGCAAAACCCTGCGTCTTGAAGTTGGCCCCTGAATTGCATCCCAAGGGAGATGAAGGTTTGCTGCCGAGTGAATATGAAAAACGATCCGTAAAATAAAGTACGGGGTGCTGCACAAACCGTGGGCCACAAACCTTCCGCTGGTGGACGTCTTTTTTTCTCGGAGTCCAATCCAAGGACGGTGGTTGGGCTGCGGATGACTACGGCGGGTGGGCACCACACCACCGCCAGCACTGTGCGGCAGTTCACTGAGTGCCTGGCGGCATATTTTAATGGTTGGGAGGAATTGTCCCGAGACATGTCGTGGGGGATGATTTATGTGCAGCAGGCAGCCAGCACGCCGATGAACGACTGGCGGAGATGTGATGTCGTCAATTCCGATAATGTGAGCGACGAGAGCCTTGAGATTCGGTGTTCTGGGAGGAAGAGGTGCGCCAGTACCCAGTGTCAATATCATCCAGAGACTTTAGAAGAGACGAAGCCCTCCGAAGTGTGCAAAGATAATAATAATAGGAAAATGGATTAGGAAATTGAAGGTGAACGAGACAGCTTGATTTGTGGTAAAAAATCTTGCGGGAGTTATATATTTTTGGATGCTTGTGTCTGAGCATGCGGAGCGGGTGCACCAGCCCCATGCGGCAGCACCGCACACAAATGCCAAAATGACCAACGCTATCGGAAATAAAGGTGACCGAAGAAATTAGGGAGGGAAAGGGGTTGTTTGGCTTCTGGTGAAAAACATTGGGTGATTTTCATATGTTATTTTGATTGTGTGCCCATACGAGGCATAATTGGAGAATTGCCCCGGTATGAGAGAATCATTGTGGCTGGTGGTGTCACGGCGTTACCGCATTGTCCATTTCCTTCTATTGTGTTCGAAGGCCCATCACTAACGGAAGCATCTTTAAGGGATGGACGACGAATAAGGTCTATTGAGGAAACAGTGCGATCTCCGTGTGACCGCGTGGACTGTGGCGCCGCGTCATGGATGGATGAATGGAGATCCGCTTCCGCTTGTGGCTCATTGGGTGATTGCTCGCTCCGTGTGCGTTGTGTGTCGGCAGCGGGCTGTGGCCGTATCCCGTTGGCCGTGGGATTGAACTGGAGGCGGTGGCGCTGTGTCTCTTCTTCTCTTCCATTGGTGTGTGGCTGCTGGCGGTGTGTGAGTTTGTTGTGTGGAAGGCCGAATCTTCTCACCCGCGGACTGACGGCACTGCGATGGTGCGTGTGTGTGAGGGCTGGTGTGGGCGATGGTTCTCCGCGCTGTTCCTTTCGGATTTTCTCGTGCCCCGCTCTTTGCGTGGGTGATGTGCTCTGCTCCTCACTGACGTGTCTGATGTATTGCCGCTGTTGTTGCTTTACTCTCCACTTCTTGAACACAGTCACGCTAGGAAGGAAAATAAACTCTAAGCGCTAATCACTATTGTGAAATTTGAACACTCTGAAAGGACCAACAACACACACACACCGCCCACACACACATATTTATATGCTCTCAATTGTTGCTGCAGTGAAGGCACCCCGCACGCACAACCGTCGCCGCGTGACCGGATCCAGCGGGAGGAGGAGGGAAGGAAAAAAGGGCGAGCCGCAGAGGCCCAACATGTCCCGGCATGTGTTTGCTTTCGCGGGGCTGCTCCTCGTTGTGATGATGTGCTGCTGCACCTGTGGAGCTGCGGCCGCTGATGGAAGTAGTGGGG